TTTTTTTTTCAGCTGAAAACGATCTTGTACCCGATGGCCAGGCTGGCGCTGGGATCTTCAATTGCCCGGATGACTTCATAGCCATCAACTCGGTGCGATTGTGCGGGGAGCGGCTGAACGATGGAATCGAGATTGAGGATTATACCATGCATGCCACAGTGAGGGATATAGCCGCCGGTCCCATTGTGCTGCCCTTTCGCACCGATGCCGAATATGTGGGTCGCGGCTTTCGTCTGCTCTACAGGCAGGAGTTGTGTGTCTGATATGGATGCAGTTCGGTTACGGTTAGATTTACTGCTGCAGTTACTGTTACCGCTCGTAGTTCATAGGCTGCATATGCCGTTGTTTGCATTAAACTTTGGAATATGTTACGCTTCAGTCCGAATCTCGAATCTCGAATCGACTGCAGGGCCTTTCTGGTTGCTATGGGAAAACTTGACATGCATGCGACCATTTCCGTTCCCAGTGCTGTGTTAATGTGTTTTATGTATTTCAGCGTYTTGGTGGCTTAGTTTTGGCGCCGCCCACCCGCCGACTGGGCGGTCCGCAAGTTCGTAGTTCACAGCCGGTTGGCGTTGGTGTCGGTTGACAGGTTTATTTCCAGATATTCATATCTAGCCATACCGCAACTATGACGAAATCTATAACTTGCCGCATCGCCATCGTTTCTGTTCAACTCGAAGTGGAAGTTGAAGTTGAAGTCGTAGAGGAGTCGAGTCGGTAGAGACGTCGCCAGGGCCGGTGTTGTCGTGTTGGTTTCTATGCTTAAATTTGTAATAAATTTGATTTTTTCCTTTCGATTGCGAATTTTCATTGTTCCTTTTGGCCGTCGTATGATAAAGTCACAATTAACCCACGCCTTTTTCGTAGCGGTACTCTTACATATATTTGCATATCATTTTGATTGTTTGGATCGCTGTCTGCGCCGCTGACATGGTGATGACTAAAAGTGTGCAGCAACGCCATCACCACCACCGCCACCACGACCAAACAACAACAACAACAACAACAACACCACCAACAACCAGCTGGAGCAGCCAACAATCATAAAATAGGCAACAACAAATATTGCATGCAAACATTTTGAATTTGAAGTTTGTCATCAAATGGCGTCTGAAGCCTTGGACAGGGCGCCATGTGGCACAGTGGAGTGATTTCTGAATTTAGTGGAAAAAT